GAGTATAGCTTTCTGAGTTTCCTAACCACTACCGAAACTGGTCATGCTGATTGGTGGCCTCTCGGAGCCACAGTACAAATAAGTAATTTTTCCTAGTTCTCTAATTTATCATGTAAAACCTTACAGTAACTACCTGTTTCACCAGATGTGTGAGGGGCCTTCTTGGTAACAGCAACTAAATAGCAGAACTCTCTCTTCAAAGGAGATTTGCCTGGCGCTAACACAAATACCTTTTAAATACCAGGCAAATTCACCTGTCTTCTTTAGACTTTCTAATATATTGCAGTCAATTTCACTTAACCAGATTTTAGGCAAAGATTTTATATGCTATTTTATATTCATTTCTGAATGTACTTTACTGTTCTTATTTTATATCTTCTCCTGAGAAAGTTTACTAGGAATTCACTGCTGTTCCTCAGAACTGATGAATTTCCTACTGCTCCCCCTTCAATACTTTGGCCATCTCATGAGAAGAGAAGACTCCCTGGAAAAGACCCTGATGTTGGGAAAGTGTGAAGGCAAGAGGAGAAGGGGGACAACAACGGATTCACAGATGTTATGCTGGCAGAAGATGTATGTAACTGGGATTATGAAGCACTGAGTGTAAAGCTATTTTTGCAGGCCCCAGCAACTTCAGTTCCTCACCACCTCCCATATACCACACATTTATTTATGTATTACCAATTAGCCTCTTTGGCCCTTCCTTTCCCCTTTATCTCTACTCCTCGTTCCTCAGCCAGAAGTGCAACCATTGAGTTCCTGACAAATTTGAAAAATGGCCCTTAATCCCACTGAGATTATCCACTCATAATACAGCCCTCACTTTACAAACCAGCTAGGAGCATGATAAAGCCTTTCTGGTTTCCCCCACTAAGAAATGTTTGACAGTGCTAACTACCTCAGAAGGTGGTAAATTCTCTGTCATGGGAATTTTTTAAACACAGGTTAAAAGGCCATATGCCAGAAGTCTTAAATTATAGATTTTCTGCACTAGCAGAGGATTTACCAATATATTTCCTACATAAGCAAAGGGTAGATGAGCCCTGAGGTACTCTTACTCTAAATTCTATTATTTAAAATAGGTTTTATCAAGAAGACCTAATTAGTATCAAAGATACACACCTCTACAAATTTTAATCGACTTTGCACCCTCAGATATACTATACGTACAGTAAACATTTCCTTGTAGACTTCAGATAAGTGTTGCTTAATGCAGCAGTTCTCAGCCTAGCAGAAATCTCACAGCATTTTTCTTATCTCCCCCTTTCCCATTTATACCAGTAATATCTCCTGTGAAAAGTGTTTGTTGCAGCTGAAAAAGGAAAGCTAGAGATTATGGACATCATGGTCTGCTTTCTCCTAAAACAGCTAGCACTTATCATGGAGTGAAGTGAAACTTGCTAAAGATAGGAAACTGCAAATGCAGCAAAGAACATGAAGCAATTGTGGGAGAAGCAACAGGAATTGAGAGAGAGAGAAAGGAGGCAGCATGCAATTGCGGAAGAACCTGCACATGCTGAATTGAACTGGGCACAATGAGGATGTCACTCATACGTCTGCCCTGTTCATTACTTCCCTGCAGTCAGTTGTTCCACAAGCTTTTCTTCCTTCCTGCCTCCAGTAATGGAATTAAGACAGGAACACAAAAATGTGTCTTCACAAAGATGGAGGGATGGTGGTGCAGGAGTGTCCAAGGGTACAATGTTCTCTGCACAAATTTACAGTGACAAACTAGGACCTCATTTTATGTGTGCCTGGAACAGATATCCAAAACATCTAGGAAAACTTCCCTCATGTCTAACTTGATCTCAAAATAGGCACAATAAAAATCGTTCATCCAGTTATTCTAGTCTTCTAAAACCTTTCTGTCTCTTCACCTTTCTTTATACACCATGTGTTTTTAAAGTTCAGGGGGGTTTAACTGTAGTTCCGTCCAACTACAAGCAACTCACAGGAGTTCTGTGAGCATTAAAGGAAGGCAAGATGACAACAAAGGAAGCAATGTGGATGGGCAGATATCTGAGACAAAAACAGATACCTCTTGGGAAAGTGTTGACCACTTCCCCTTTTTAAGAGTCAGTTGCCTTTTAAGAGTGCTTCAAGAACAGACAATTGTCCCTGGAAAGAATGAAGTCTCATGGATATAGGATGGATAATCTGTAGCCATCCTTATCTTCCTGGACTACAACTCCCGGAATACTTAACTATTGGTTGTACGGGCTGAAACTGATAGAAAGCGAGGTTCTACAACATCAGACATGCCAAAGGTTCCTTATCTATACTCTAGACCAGTGGTCCCCAACGTTTTTGCCTCCACAGACCGGTTTAGTGTGGGGGAAAGGGGGCATCCATGCATGCACGGGAGGGGCTGTGTGTGCGTCCGTGTGTGCATGGGAGGGGCCGTGTGTGTGTGGGAGGGGCTGTGGGTGCATGGGAGGACCTGTGGGAGGGGACATGCATGCATCTGCTCATGTGGGGGGGAGGATACTGTGGCCCAGTCCTGACAAGGCCACGGACCAGGACTGGTCCATAGACCGGGGTTTGGGGAGCTCTTCTCTAGGCCATCAACCAAAAAACTCAAGAGCACATCAACATAAGTACAATTGTATCTGCATTCATTTTCATTGACATATTGATCACATTGAGGTTATCACATTGGTTATTGAGGTTATCACATTGTCAGTCATGTATGGCCAACTTGGCCGGGGTCCAAATATAGATGTCTCCAGTCCCCCTTTCCTTCTATTTTATGACATAAATTTTCATATCCTCATCTGGAATGCAGTCATACGTTCCACCTTCCTTTCACAAATAATCTGTACCCAAACCCTTTAAGCAGAAAGTCATGAGATAGAAGAAAACTTGAAAAATTCTCCAACCTGTTGTGATAAAACATACACAAAGATTTCAAAGAGATTAGGTAATTTTCTCCTAACATGACAACTACATTAGCCAATTATATTGCTAAACTCTTTTACACAGCAACAATTTATGTCAAGCATACTCTAAAACAACCTCACTGTTAGAGGAAATGTCATACTTCATTAGGATGTTTGCACTTAGAACATTTAAAAAAAGGAAGACAAAAGTATGATCTTGTTAAGTTTCCAGGGTATGGTCTCGTTGGACTAACACAATTTTTTACAGGCAGATTGGCAGTGATTATCATTCTGATTGGGAATATCAGACAATAACAGTACTGTACAACTGGAAGGGGCCCCAGAAGACCAACCCTTTGCTGAAGCGGTAACCCTAAAGCTGAAGCATGCTGGACAGATGGCTATCCACCTTTTCGTAAGAAACTTTAAATGAAGGAGAGTCTGTCATTTTTAAAGACAGTCAATTGCATTTTCAAACAATTGCTAGGAAGTTCTTTAAAATGTTTAGGCAAAATTCCCTTTCTTGTAACTTAACTCCATTATTTCGGTGTCAAGATGTGAAATTTTGTATGTTTAGAGTGTTAAAAAATTAAGGAGGCTTTAGGAAAAGTAGCCTTAAATTATACATTATGCTTTAACAATGAGTGTGGCATTCATCTTCATGCCCCTTGCCTGACTCCCCAAACACAGAGCACACAAAGGCAAGCTACTACAGTGGTGCCTCGCATAACGAGCGTACTGTTTAATGACGAATCCGCATAGCGACCTGTTTTTTACTATCGCTAATGCGATCGCATTGTGATGTTTCGTTAGGGGAAACATCGCATTGCGATGATCGGTAAGTGTTTCGCTTACCAATCTTCGCATTGCGATGTTTTTAGAACAGCTGACCGGCGGTTCCAAAATGGCTGCCGGGTGCACAAAATGGCCACCGCAAGCATTTTTGCGTGATTTCCTCACTTACCGAGGCGGCGAAAATGGCGGCCGGATGGAGGATTTCCGCATAGCTGTAAGTTTCCCCCCCATAGGAACGCATTAAACAAAGTTTAATGTGTTCCTATGGGTTTTTTCCATCCATATAGTGCTGCTTCCGGATAGCGACTGATTAATCCAGAACGGATTAACATCGCTATGCAGGGCACCACTGTACTCCTTTTTACCCCACTGCCACCAGTTGATCACTAAATCAACTTTAATTATGGAAGGATGAAGATGCAGGTCCAAACTTCATTGTCTTTTAAATAAAACATTTTTATTGATTACAAATGTTATTATTAATCATAGGTAACTTCGGATAGCAACTGATTAATCCAGAACGGATTAACATTGCTATGAAGGGCACCACTGTACTCCTTTTTACCCCACTGCCACCAGTTGATCACTAAATCAACTTTAATTATGGAAGGATGAAGATGCAGGTCCAAACTTCATTGTCTTTTAAATAAAACATTTTTATTGATTACAAATGTTATTATTAATCATAGGTAACTTCTATTATCATCAATCTCAGCCTTCTATTTGTCATTACAGTTCTTATTCACTTTTCACTCTAATCACACCTCAGATCTCCCAAACTACCACACTCTATCTCCTTCTCCACTCACTCTGACTTTCATTGACTTACTGACTGACTCACTCTCTGACTCCGCCTCTTTTACATATCTCTCAGCTCCGCCTCTCAGCAACATTAGCCTGTCACAGGAATATTCATAACTACTTAACATAATAGGGGTGAACAGTACAATGAGGTTTGAACAGCAGTATACTAAAAGTTTACTAAAAGCCACTGCAAAACAATCA